TTTCTCAATCATCTCAGCTAAGAACATACCTAGAGAAAAAACAGTGAATATTTAAAACACCATTTTAAATTTCTTCATTAACTACCTATAGAAAGATTTATTTATTGCTGTCTCCAAAGCAATCAGTATAGGGAGTCTATGTTACAGCAAAAGATAATAAAAGTATTACATTTTATTGAAAGCTGTTATTAAGGCGAAAGCACCTTCCTTATGTTGAAATGCTATCTCGGAGACGGGAAATAAGTAAAAGAAAGAAGATTGTGGCAAAGTAGCTACTGTCTGTCTAAGATTTCAGCTATTCCTAAAGCAGCCTGAAAAGAGAACTGTCTGTCTTAATTAGTTCTTGAAGCTGCGCCTATTACCACTGTCTTTTATGAAGGACTATATTGGGTTAATTTCTGCAAAATAGTGGGTTTTTTTAACCTGAGGATCTGCACTGTATCAGCACAGTCTCTCTCAGGTGTATCACTCTTTAAGACTTGAGTTTTGTCACATAACTGATTTATACCTTGGAGAGTCATTAGCTCTTAGTTGAAAGAAATCTAAATATTCACCAAGACCTTAGTTAGCAAAACCAATTAAAAATCTCACCCCCTTCACATACTTTTCAGTTTTAGCACTGAAAGCAAACTTGTAGTTAGTTTGTATATACCACTAAACATTCCTCTTTATATTTATACATGTTAATCTAATGTGCCAAATAGTTCCTTTATGTCTTTTGATGTGGAAGACGACAGTGAATCTAATGGGAGAGATAAAAACCTTATATGCAACATTTCATATATTGTATGCTATAAAGTATGAAGATCTTAATCAATATACAAGTCATATAGGAAATGGAAAATGTCATTCAGTATCATAATATTCTTGAAACAAATGTTCCTTTTTCCTTCCATTAGTTCTTTCTTGAAAGGGAATTGCTCTTACCTACTATGGAGAGAATCACAACCACAAAATCAAAAATATTCCAGCCTATAGTGAAGTAGTAATGGCGAAGTGAAATCAATTTCAGGACACATTCTCCAGTGAAAAGGATAATGAACACAAGGTTAATCCGGGATAAAATTGTTTCCATTTCTTTACTCTGGTCATCTGTTTCTACCATCATTGTGACCATGTTAAGGCAGATGAGTATCATGATGCTGATGTCAAATACTTGTTTGGTTACAAAATCAAAGACCATGCCTTGGAATTTGTTCTGCAAAAAACAAAGATGGAATACAGTTTATACTGTGAAAATATTTGTCTTTACAAATGCCAAATGGGAAAGCAAGTCCCTGCATGATTTAGGAGTGCAGAGCAAAACCCATTCCCAATACATCTCTCAATATACACCAAACCCATGCTAGCTGGTGTCTTTTCCTGTTAGAGTGGATCAAGAAGTGTACCACTGTTGGCTGAAGGGACGGGAAGGGGAAGCAAAGCAATAATAATAACATTGACAATTGACATTATTGGTGTAAAAAAGGTGGTATATCTTGATACTCAGCAAGACTACCAGCCAAATAGAAACTTACTTACTTATCTTTATTCTTAGCTGGTTTTAGAATACTAACCCCCAGAGATGTCTGTCTCTTCCTTAAACTAATTCTGCTTGCTGAGATCGTTGAACCACTGAAGTTACATTTCTCAAACACACCATGACTGCAATATCCTAGTTTTCCTTTAGGACTTAGCTAAATGTTTATTGCCATATGTCTCTCCTTAGAAGACTATTTATAACCACTCAGTGCATAAGGTGCAACAAGTATTTTATTTTTTCCAAACATTGTAGGAGTTCAGTAAATAACAGAGTAGTTTCTTCTCTTAGAGACAAATTTATCCTAGTTTATACTTTACTCCCTAGGGCAATTTTTTATTCTGTAAGATTATCTGCATCTGTCTTTCTCTTTCACATTAGGTGACCACTGCCCCCTTCTGTCTTCAGCAGCAAGGGCCAGTGCATCCCCGTTTCCTACAGATTCTCTGGAAGGAGAAAAAACAGAAAATGAAATTTATCTGTGGATAGCAAGAACCGATAAATGATCCAATCAACTGTACTTTTCTAGGACCTAGGCAGGGAATTATGTAATATATCGCATTAACCTTATTAAATCCTACAGTTCATAATTCAGAGAGTATGTTTTTAAATGAAACATGAACAATCTAGTCTGCTGAATTAAAAAAAAAGGAGGGACAAATTCTACCTTTACAAGAAAATAAATGGAAGAAATATTTTCTTTCCAGACATACATTATCTTGTTGGCTAAAACCATATTCCCAAATGAGTGTTTAATATTAGGAGTATTAAAATCAAATCACTCTTACCACTGGCCTTGGTATAGGTTTCTGTGGCTTTTTGGATCCCAGTTTTTTCATTGCATTGTAATATTTCTTCTGTTCTTCTGTCATAAATATATCCTGACCTCCAAAGTAAAGAAATAATATCAAACCCAATTACTATCACGTTCACACATACAACATTTACATACAGTATGTCTGCCTGTAATATAATACTACATTTATATTTGATTTATATAACAAAAGTTATTTTTTCAGGTATTTATAGTGTGGATGCTCATATGCATTCCTAACACACACAAAAATAAGCCTTACTGCTGCCTTGTCAGGCTGACGGTTGAGTTTTTCCAGTGTCTTCATGCTCACTGACATGACTAAATTCGTTCTTACTATACTGAAGAATAACTTGCTGATTAGGATATGTTCAGTGTATAGGAACCTGACCGGTGCCTTACATGTCCTGAATTCTACATAGACTTTTAGGATTACAGCTAGCCCTGTCTAAAAGTGGGGTAGCTTTGAGACACAAGTTGTGTCAAGGGAGAGTATTTGGGTCTAATCTGAGGGTTTTAATGACAGCAAAACCCCCCTTTGATATAAATTTAAGAAAAGTAATCCAAATAATGCCATAACAAATTATTAGTTAGAACACCACTGGAACCTTGACTAACTCAAATTAGCCTTTGTTTGCAGATGCAAATGCTGCCAGTCAGATGTGCAACTGACTGACTGAATTCAGTATAAAGTAAATGACCTAGGTCAGGTAGAAGCACAATGTCAAAGTCACTGTCTGTTAAACTGGATATTGAAGACGAAAGCATAGCTCTTTTAAGAAAGTAGAGGATATCTTCAGAAGGAAAAATTTCTGTAGTTCACAATTGACTTTTTAACCATAGATTCTGTTTGGTACTGCTGCTTTTTATTTGGTGATCGGATAAAACCCAATCACATGAAACTGCTTTTTCACAGCATACAAAGACTTAGAATGATCCTGAGGTTCTAGTTCTTTTTGGCAGTTGAAGGCTAAGAATCGTGAGGCTTCAAAATATTTTAAATGTGGTTATTTGTATTTTTATATTGTTTAATTTATTTTAAATAAAACTATATGCATTATCAGTATAATTATTTTAAATATACTTGTATGTCAAATGTATACAGAAAAAATTCTTCTTCCTTTTATACCTTTGGTTTATTATTGCTGATAAATTATAGATTGTATTTGTGCCTAACAAATTCATCTCATTTCTCACAAAAGTGCCAGAAAATTAGAGATTTTTTTTCTTCTCTTATTTGTGTGAGGTCTGTTGGACTTCCTTTTAACCCACAGTTTAATCAGTTTGCAGAACTATTATCTACTGTATGAATGCAATGCCATATTGTACCTTCATTAAGTGTCAACAGTTTATAAGATTAAGTCAAATTAATTTATCTTAATTCTTTAAAGTTAATTAAAAAAGAAACTCTTCCATGGAAAATAATACTATATATAGTCAAAAGAATAATGCACATTCCCTTTTTGCATCTTCATTTTAGCTCTTTCTTGCATAACAATTTGCAAATTATTATGAATAGACTCATGATTGTCCCTCTTTGCTTGTCAAAATGCTGAAATCCAAAGGTCAAAATCACATCCACGGATTTAATACAGATTATGATAAAAAATTAGACATTTTTATTCAAGGACTTGAAATAACTTTTGATTTTTATTAGCTTTACATAAATAAGTTATTAATTCATTGTAGCTAAAAATTTATAGCAGTATGGAAATATTTTAAATACTTATCTTCTTTTTTTGTTGGTTGAAGTTGTCTATAATGACACCAATGAAAAGGTTCAAGGTAAAGAATGATCCAAATATGATAAAGATGACAAAATAAAGATACATATACAAGTTGTCCTCATACTTAGGTTGATCTTCTACCTACAAAATATTATAAATTTTATTACAAATGAGAATACTAGATGTAAAAAACAATGTATATAATTTATGAATAGGTATATGCTATCTCAGCTAGAAAAGTTATAAACTGCTCTCAATTATTAAAAAGACGCAACATGTCCATTTGAATCAATATTTGGAGAACTGGAAGCTGACAGAGTGATAGCTCATATGGAATTTTAAAGTAAATGCACACATAGATATGTTTATGTATGTACATATACACAAAGTTCCTTGTATACAAGGAAGAAGAAATGTGGGACTGAGAGCAGTTATTAGTACTTAAAATTTTAACAGCACAAATCTAAATATTTTATATTGTGTTCAGTATACTTTCATGCAACAGAATCAATCAATTTTAATGTCACCTAAGTCTTCCTGAAACTCTTTTGGTCTCACATGAGTGTCCTTATGTCCAGCTAAGAACAAATGCTTTCAATAAATTTCTAGTCAGTATATATTTTGTGAAATCCATTAAATTGAGACAAATTTCCAAGGAGGATTTTGTTATTGTCTCAATTCTTCTGTATTCCACATCTCAATGCCTGCACCTCTACTGCACAATGTGCTAGAGTGTAGAAATGCTGAAGTTAACGAAACAGGATGTATTACTCTGGAAGACAAATATCACTGTGTGATGACGGATATCACTAATGTGAGTATAACCTACGTTGTATAGACCTAGTTCAGGCATCTGTGTTGCACTTTTTTGTACAGGGTAAACATAGTTTTAGTTTTGTAGCCAAGATAAAATTCTAATCCCTAGAAAATTTAACAGATTATATTAAACCTTAAAGAAACAATGAAATGTACAGTTACAAATTATAAACCAAGATTAATATATTAAATATGTAATAATTACATTATATAATCTTAAATTAATTCATACTCATGATTACCAAAGGAAGTGGTTAAAAAACCTCTTTGTTTTTTTCATTAACATGAACTTTTCCAAAAGAAGTCTAGTTAAGTTAAATTTATTTGTCCAAATGCAAAGGAAGTGGGATTAATTTTCTCCACTATGAATTCTAAGATTCATGACATAAAAGTTCCCCTCTAGCCTAAATATACCTGGAAAAAATATGTATTGGTGCTGATTATAATTCTTAATGTTATTGCATGTGTAGCTATTTAAATTCTGTATTCTATATCAGAATATAACCAACAGATGATCTTTGAAAGTCTTGCACTTACATCTCGTGAATCGACAGCAGCATACATAATATCCATCCATCCTTTGAAAGTAGCCTAGAAATAAAATACAGTTGTTTATCTTCCCTATAAAAATTCATAATGTGGGAAATAACTAGGTCACAGCAATTAGACCTTAACTTTTAATAAAATCATATCTACATTTATAAACCACGTTTAATAACACAGGCATAATAAAATATTTTTCATAGTAATACTAGTTTTTTTAAGAAATTATTTTTTAGGTATTCAAAAAAAATTTTAAAAATCAGATTCTGAAGGTCTCGGCAAGGGCATAATATGTTTGGAGCTGCAGATGCTTACTTTGCAGGTGAAGAATGGTAGACTGAGATAGACATTAATGCTGGAGATGTTCAAGTAGAATCTACTAAATCACTCACAGTGACAGCAATTTTATCAGGTTTACAGCATGAATTGATGGAGTTAGCAATACAACTTCTGGACAGATACCAACATGCATCTGAATGTTTTTGCTATGGCTAAACTGTCATGGTATTTTTAGAAATGTTTTAATCCCACATAACTAAAAGGAATAGACTCTGCTCATAACAAAAATATACATTGGTTCTTGACGGTTAAGATTTACAGAAGACCAAAAACTGAACTGTGAAATAGCTGTGATTAACTTTTGTAAAACTTTGGGCTGAGTTCCTATAGAGTCTTTGTCTAGGTAGAATATAGAGTAAAAAAGATCTGCCATCATTGCTCTAAGGACGTGATTTTCATGGACATGGAATCTAATGAGGAACACCATGTTCTAATGAGGAACACCAAAGGGTTGGTGTGACATGCTAATTGAAGGTGTGAGTGTCTGCTCATTAGACAGGGTTTCCAAGTTTATTCACAATAAATAAAAAAAGAGCTAAAAAGCCTGTGAAATGAACAGATAAAGAGCATCCCTCCTGAAGAGATTCGGGAGAGGAACCATCCCAAGGAGTGTATTTGCATCTGTGCTTGCCAGAAGTAGCTCTGGCACTTTGGTACAGTTGCTAGTTTTCACAGCAGAAAACTTGCACTCTGGGACTGTTCATGTCCTACTGAATCTTGCAGTGCAATACAGATTTTCTAAGAAGGTATGCTTGGAGCCAGGCTTCATAGATTATTCTGTCTCACTTGACAATTGGCAGCCATTTGGTGCACTTTGCATAGCCATTATTAGAAGCGGAGCAGAGTTTGATAAGAGCAATAAATACAGGAGAAGAGTGGAGGGAGAATGTTAATGGAGACAATCAGCTGAAGAGATGACATTATACATGCTCAAGGACCCCTTAACTTCTGCAGGAAAAGTAAAGGGCGGAACAGAATATTTGAAAAGGGAAATGATGAAAAGTCAGAACAAAAAGAAGTAAAGAAAGAGAAGAACAAAAGATCCACAGTAGTGATGTAGTAATTAAAGACCAACACTGTCTGGATGGGTGACATGGATGACATTCAGACACAGCTTCAAGACACTTGAAATTTTCCTTATACATCTTCAGTGGCAAGCGTTGGTAAAAAGATCGTTCACCTTAATCTCTAGTGCAAGGATAGCAATGAGATCTGAAGTCAGAGGATTAGAATCATCATTCAGTACTACTACTCAGCACATAAGAGTCAAGTTGCCTTTAGAGGCAAAACGTTTTAAACCAGGTAGTTAATTTGGAAATGAAGGTCAGCTAGGGATACTGACCTGCTCTGGGACAGAAGGGACAAGCATATCATTCTTCGATAACTCGGTGATATCAGAGCAGTAACAATCCCCATGACATTTCTGACATCTTTTCATAAAGTGAAGATATATGTCTAGTTACAGACAAGTGATTCTACAGAGCTCAATCATCTAAACATAGTTGCTTGCTTTCTTGCTTGTGTTTTCAGTCAGATATGAGCTATCAGAACCTCCACTCTAAGCCAAGGAGCCTGTAAAGAGCTAAGGAATTTATTCCTCTGGCATAAATAAAAGGTATGCTTAGTACCTAGAACAAAGATGTTTCTGTACAACAGTGCATAGGAAAAGGACTTGAAGGGGAAATACAATTTACAGACTTTGTAGCAGTAATTAATAGAATGAATATGCCATGCAATACAATAACATCTAATACTTCACAAGGATAATATTATAAGTAACATAATAATTATTTAGTATATTATAATGACTCATTGACAGTCATTAATGGAATATGATAGTTAGAAATAATGAATATTTTTTGAGATAAAAGTATTTTACATTTTCATATTATACCCACAGTTTAATGTCTTTGTAGTTTCATGTAATTCTTAATGAAATATATTTATTTTAGTAGCAAGTGCTGTTTATCTGAAAACATCAAGAGAAAGTGTTATATGATTAATCAGATCTAATACTCAATTAGGATCTGTATATCAGTAACTATCCATATTCTTCCCATGTGCAGCTCCTTCTTTTCTCAGAGGATTTCAGACCTCTTACACAAGTATTACGATAATAGAGAAAGAATTAGCTCAAAGTTACATGAAACATTGGGTGCCCCAATCTCAGATCTTGCATTATTTCTAATTCCTTTCCCTAAAGCCACTTCCAGGTCTGGAAAATCAAGTCCCTAGTAAAAAAATATCTGCACTAGAGATACCAGGTTGATATATTTTTATCTTTACCATCTAACTTACAAACTGGGTCCTTAGATGAGTATAGAAATGAAAAAAAATCCACTCTAACTTGACCGGGCTGTTGACAAAAGAAAAGTTATTTCACAGTGACAAAAATGCCTAGATTAATGGATTTTGACTGTGAAAGAATGTTGCTGTGGTTGTGTAATGATACCTAGGAACAGATTACGTGGGAGGCATTTAGGCATGAGGAAGTTACTTACTTCAGACCAGTCAGTGAGAACGTCTGTCCTCTTAAAAAAGCTTAAAAAAGCGCTGCTGTCTGCCCTCCTGTCTTACAAGGGAACTGAGCTTATAAAGGAAGCAGGAGACCTTTTTAATAATTAGAGGGACCTCTGAGCCTTGTTCATCATGGCAAGACTCATGAAATGCATTCCTGAAGTTTATATTGTGTACTACTAAAAAGATCCTTCTACCTTTTTCACTTATTATTTTCACATTATTATCATCATGATGAGACTGTATTCCCTGGCCTTGGAATAGAAAGTTACTCTACTGTCATTAATAGAAAAATTGCAGGAAACAATGCAATAGAGTTGTGTAAGCTGTACATCATTGCTATGAAAAAATTATTCCACTACTTAACAGTCTTAACTTGCTCATTTTTCCTAGACTTCTTCAAAAAGAGCAAAAAGAAAAAATATAAATTTACTTACTACTTGAAGCAGAGCAAGATATCCAGCTCCTACATTATCAAAGTTTACTTTCACATTTTTCCATCGGGCACTTTGATTGTTTTTTATGAGTTCCTCACACTGAGTATAATTGTTGACATCACTGACATCAAACATCTCACCAGTTGTGGTGTTGACACAGTGATAGAATTTGCCAGCAAATAGATTTACTCCCATGATGCTGAAGATGAGCCAGAATATAAGACAAACCAGCAATACATTCATGATAGATGGAATTGCTCCTACAAGGGCATTTACAACCACCTAGTGTACAAATTAGACAAAATAACCACTTAGTTTATGAACAGGAAAATAAAAATACTTTTAAAATGTTAAAACAGTATTAATATGGAATGGACAGTTAAAATATTACATTAAAAATTAGGGGGGAAACAGTATTTAAGATTCAATAAAAACATTAATGAGATTGCAAAAAGCAAAAAATAAAATAATATGGAAACCAAGACAATGCAAAAGTCTGAAAAAGAACTCAAAAAGCCAAAGAAAACCTGTTAGTAGCAAGATGGATTCTTAGAATTTGTGTGCTCTAAAGAAAAAGAGAGAAATAAATGTTAAATTCCAACAAAACAAATCAAAATCTATAAATAGAAAATAAACCAGAAAAAGATCAAAGAATGATGATGTGGAAGACTGAATAAAAATTTCTGCATGTAAAACTACCATTACTAATTATTTTATTCTCAGAAACTTTATGTATATATTTGCATCAGTGTATTTTAGCATCTACATACAACATAACATAATTAAGCATATCTTATTTAGTTTTTCTTAACAGCAGCTGCTGTAGGTCTTGGTTTTAAATTGCCTGGCTCACTATAGTTGCTTTTACATTTATCCGTTAGGTTTTTTTTTCATTGGCTGCATTTAATACAGTTGAGCTACTCTACATGGGCAAGTGGCAGTAAAAGATCAGATGAAATCCCTTGACAAAAATTGTCTTTTACTTACTATGACTGAACTAAAAGAAAGCTGCAGATATTCAGACAATAATTTTCTACCAAATCAGCAGAGACTGCAGTAGGTTTTTGTGTATGGGTTTGAAAGTAGTAGTATTTTTCAGTTTACTAATTTGTCTGAAAGTAGTCTGAGATCAATAGAGGTTTTTCCCATATGTTAGATAGGGACTTAAGTGTTGTTTGCAATGCAAATCATATAAAACATAGGGGTGATGGTGATGTGCCACAGGACACACTTCCCTACCCTGACTAGTGTGGCCACCTGTAGAATATTAGCAGCCTCAACCCAGACAGGAACCACACATTTATTTGCAAACTTAAGACCTATGACCAAACTATAAACATGTATTGCAGTATCTGGGTATTTTGAGGTGAAAGACTAAAAGGAGATTTCTCAATAACATTACCTTGTTAATTTTTTATGCATCAGTTTTTCCAGGAAATAGCCTAGTCTGAGTTTTCAGGAGACAGCTGGTAATAGTTTTGGGGTTTTTTTGTCAGATTGGCAGAATATGAAAATAGTAATTTCCTCGACAGGAAGGATTTAGCTGCGTAGGAGGAGAGGTAAGATGGCAGCGGATGCATTCATATGAAGTAAAAGACACAGGCTGAGAAAATTATTTCCCACCTCTCCTCTTCTATACTTCCAGACCCATCCTTATTTCAGGTATCTGTTCAGACAACCTTTCCCTAATACTACAGCATTTATTGTAGGATTTTTTTCCCCAGACAGGTAGACAGGGAGACACAAGGGAGGTTTTAGTTTTTGGTGTGTCACTGTTGTCAGCTTCTTAACCTTGTTTTGTCTTGTTTTGTCTTGTTTTGTTTTGTTTTGTTTTGTTTTGTTTTCCAGCTAATCCTGTTCCATCCTTAACCACTGACAAACTAACAGAGAATAGAAGTTAGCTACAGAAATTCATAAAATAAAGTCCCCAGCCAAACTGGAGAAAAAAAACCCCAACCCTCTATTCTAAAATTTCTCACGTTCTTTTACTTATCTACATAGGTCCACAAATCAGTGGAAATTTTAATAGCCAGGGGGTTGGGGTAACACAACTATGCAGCAGTGAGCAGACAAGTTTAATGAACTCAAGGTCTAATCTCCAAATGTAAGCTGTACATGTCTTGTGTATAAGGACATGTTGGAAAGCCTTTTTTCCACACATTTTTGCATGCATTCCCATTCTGGGATTCTTTGCAGAAGGCATGAGCATCACACTTCTACATTAATTTTTGTGTGCATACATTAATTAAGTCTCATTCATTTTATCTCACCCTCATTCCTTCAAATCGTGACAAGGCTCTTAAAGGTCTTAAAGCTCTTAATGTCCGAAGAGATTTAATGGCACCAAGTTCAGAATAGCCCAAAGCGTTGGCTATTAAACTAACCAATGAGACCTATAAAATACAGAAAAAATATTATTCTAAAAATTGTTCTACACTGTTTATTTAAAAAGAATACAAATTCAATCAACAGAAAGGTCAACAGTGACAAATGGAAGATCACCATTCTTGCATATAGTGACATTGGAGGCACAATCCCACAATTTTCATACTTGCTGGAAAGGCAAGAGATCATATGAAGGCATGTTTGAAAAAGGAACATAGGCTATTAAATGTCTGTTATAGCTGGATATGGCTTCATAGTCAGATGGAAGTCCACTGTTGGTGAAGGATAAAGTTTTCAGAAATATTTAAAGACAAAATAGCCATACTTTCAGTAATTTCATTAAAGTTCAACCTTCCAAGCAATTTAAAATTCTGAATATTTTAGAATGTCAGAATAACTGACATTAATACTGACAATATTATTAATATCTATAATCACTAATTATATGCTAAGTAATGTAGTGGTTAATCAGCTTTTGTAATTATATAAATATTACTTCTAAGTCAAACAGTTCATAGCAACAATAGCCAGGGTATCTATGAAATGTATATTGACAGAGATGGTACATTCTCAGTTGACTGACAATTCTCTCAATTTTTTTTTTTCGTCATCTGAGTATAGAAAAATTTTATGGGATCTGTGTGATAGATATGAAGAGATGCTAGCATTATAACAATAAGTGCTTTATTATCTACAACAGTAATGAGCTCCTGATTCACATTACCAGGATTTTATTATAAGCCAATCCACTTCAGGAAGGAACAATTAATTTGCTTCTCAAATGGAACTGAGTTTTAAACAGTGTTAATGTGGAAGAATTTATTTTACTTATTTTGAGCAGTTTTGGAGACAGGAAATATCCTACCTTACTCTCATTTTATTTCAGTTCTACCACCAAAAGCATAGAAGACACACAAGTAAACATAGGCATATTTCAGTCCTTGAAAAAATCCCTCAGATGTTAATTTCTGTACTTCAATCTAGAGAGTTCTTCAAATAATTGGCTGTACAGAAATAGGCATTCACTGATATGGGGGTAAGATTTTGCCCGTTATATGAAAAGGTGGTTTCCTATGTTACTTGTATCCATAAAGAACAATTAGATGAATCACAAACACAAGAGTTACAAGATCATGTGTCATGACAATCTGAGACCAGATAGAAATCAATTATTCATTACTATGTTGCTATGTAAATTAACCTAACAGAAAACAGCATTTTAGTGAATTCATATCACTGTACGTTTTAACTGGATTACATATCAGGATGTAATTCTTTTCATCAAAGGAAGGGCTCATTTTACTGCTGTAATAGATAAGTTTGTAAAGGAACTTGCTGTGATTTATAAGCATATTAAGAAGAAAATCTTACTGATTTTCTGTAGTCTGTAACTGAAGTCTGTTCATTTCATTTACAAAGAAATAACATTATTGTTTCTGCCATTACATTAATTATTGTTATTAATTGTTATTAATAATTGTTATTAATACAATATATTTGTCCTGTGGTTCTACAGATTATCCTTAGCCACTGTTAATATATTACAGAGATAACAAGACATGGAACTTTCTGTATTCTTCATAGAATATTCATTGATTCACTCACATCAACAAGATACCCAGACATGACAATAAACTTTACTGTAAAGAGAGCACATTTTATGGATTAAAAATAAGCTATGAAATATATTTTTAAAATATGCCTTTCACTGAGAGAGCAGGACACCTCTTTTAAAACTGAACTCACATTAATTAATTGGTCAAGCATTGGAACAGGCTTCCCAGGGAAGTGGTGGAGTCACCATGACTGAAGGTGTTCAAAAAATAAGTAGATGTGGCACTTTGGGACATGGTTTAGTGGGCATGGTGATGTTGGGTTGATGGTTGGACTTGATGATCTTAAAGGTCTTTTCCAACCTTAATGATTCTAAGATTCTAATGGCTTCTTCATTTTATACTTTTCTCCCCAAACTAGCACTGTGCCTTAGTTATCTTTTGCAAACAAGATTCCATACAAGCTTTTTACATAGCTGTAGCTCCTGTACCTTCAGTGACACTTGTGTATATTGGCAGTTTTTAGGTTCTGATTGTAAGTCATTCTCCAGCCTAGTGTGTGCTTTCCATTTCAACCTATTTGCAGATTTCTTGCCAGGGTGCTAGTGCTCTTACATCATAAACCTGAAGCTGTTTCACAGAGAAATACTTCATCTATTGTAAACAACATGTTTTTCTCTGAAGGACGGTTCAAATGAGAGGCAAAGATTTTCTTGGAAGTCTTTGATATTAATTCTATTGTATATACAGCATAAGTATATACAGCTGTTTTGTACTGTTCTGGTTTTCCCAGTCTTCTTAACTTGGTCTTCTGTCATCTCTTCCACCTGTTTTGTTGCTAGTAGGCAAGAAAATAAATGTCTCTGTACACTGGTAAATAGATTAGTTTCTTTCTTTTGAGACAGGAATGCATGCAGATGCGATAATTTTAAGAAATTTAAATGGACTCAAAATGGTGGAAAGAATTTTTACATTAATGTTGTAAAAACTGGAGGATTGTGTGCCCACATTTTTATGTACAGATCTTTTAATATAGACGATCTATTGCAAAAAATGTTTTGAAACTTAGCTGTCACAATTAGCCTTGCTCAAGATCTTTATCCAGGGTTGTCATCTGACTGAGATCGATGGTCATACAGCTCCACACTGACTTTATTTCTACTTAGGCCTAAAATTATAATCCATATAAATTCTGTGTTACTTGCTGAGGTGGCTAATTTATGTGATTTGATTCCAGGTCCTCAGTGGAATATGGCCCTTCTCACTTCCAAAACTGCTTATCCTGTCTTTCATGTAGTTTGAGTATTCAGGTATTACACTTAACTAGGAATAAAAATAAACTGCAAGATTTGGAAAAAAAATCCAAATATTTTTCTTTCTATTGAGAAGTTAATGATTTTTCTTATTTTTTGAAAGATAGATACTGTATCATTGGTTTTCCAGGCAGGCATTTTTGACACTCTTGGAGACAGGACATTGGACTCAATGTAGCCTTTCTTATGCCTTGTGTAGCCTTTCTTATGTTATGGTCCTGTGCTAAGATAAAATAACTTTCTCTGTATGTACTTGGTGAATAATTCTAAATTTATGGTATTTTACTGGCAGGTATTCAAAATTCATTTTGCTTAGATCCATAATTGCAATGGTTCAATTTCAATTGAACTATGATTCTGTTCCCTAACTTGCTGAACAAGAGCCTTAGCTTTCATGCACATATCACCTGAATATCTCTTTGAATTAATTAATGAATTTCATTAATTTCAGGATTATCCAATGTTGTCATAGTATACCATGTTAGGATACACATAGAGACATATGAGACTGTCTAGGAAGACAAAATGACTTCTCTTTCTGTATCTGGCTTCCCAAAAGATCAATATACTCATCATCTTATTTCTTCTTATTTTTATTATGAAGTTGTCAGGGCAGCAGATGCCTCTTACTCTGTGCATACAACATTCAGTGTATTAGCATAAATTGACCCTGATCTTTTCCAGAATGTTGCTGCTGCGATAATTATTCTGAAAAGCTAATAAAAAGGTTGAGAGCACAGTTTAATTAAATTATTTAATAGTTTTAACAAAAAGCATGAAACATTTTTAGCTATATGAAAAAATACATAAGCCATCAACTTTTAAGGTACTATACAACCAGCCCAACTGGAGCTACATTTAATTGTTCAAAAACTGTACCCATTGGAATTTTATCAGGCATGAATTATTTCAGGAAGGTCAAAGATTCATTACTGCCCCACAGTATTTGGCAAATACATGTTTTGTTTTAAATGTTACTTATTTCCAATTCATTCAAGTACAATTTAATAACACAATAATTTAGAAATAAGGTGTCTATACCAAATTACAAGACTATCTTATAAAGTTTAAAAATATACAGCATAAAATGGCATCCACTTAAATTTATCTAAGATTACATATCATAGCAGAAAACTACACAAACGAGTTTAATAACTGACAAAATCATTGGGTATTCCCAGATTCCCTATCTCCTTCCTTGATATCCTATCTCCTAGCTTTGTATGTAGCAAAGACAACTTAGAATCATTACAGCTGTACATCAAAACCTAGACATAATAAACCTGTGACAGATGGCTTCTGGAAGAAGGGGTAAGAGCAAAAACTAAGGTACAGGATGACATGCTCTATAGCATCTAGTTTTACTGGGTTAAGATATTGCTGTCTCAAGCCTTTACAGGATATCTCTGCCAGAATTAGTGTCACCAAAAAGTCTCACGCAAAAAAGCGAATATGACCCTGCTTCTCAGCTGCCTGCATCCAAAATTCAGGCTCTTCACTTAAACCACTGATATATGTGTTTGAATTAATTTACCAGATTGTGATTTTGGGTAGATAAGGCACTCCACCCAAATATTGGCTCCTTGCTACAGATATTGTTGCATCTAGCAGAAGAGTGGAGTGGAGAGATGGCATGTTAAGGTCTTAAACTGAGGTAGCCAGATGTACCAAGGGTCATCTGTCACGGCTGTAAACTGACAGAGCTGAAAATTGGCATTTCTTTGTGTAATTGTTAAAATCGAATTTGGTCACAATCACTGAGAGCAACTACAGCTATTTCTCACAGAGAGAGACTCAGGTATGTAAGATATTAAAGGTCAAAGTCCTAAAGGACTATCAGTGTTTACTCTTGAATAATTTTAGAGGATGGAATTAAACAATTTGATTAACTTTAGTCACTTCTAATGAAGAAGGGCTCACTAGTGTTCTCACTGGAACAATGCCACTGAATCACACCTGTTTAAACTGCCTGTTAAAGCATTGTAGATTCTCTACTTTTCTTTAAGAAGATAACATGAGTTCATATATTTCTTTCCAGTGCTGTTTGGCGGTACTAAAGGAATTGCTGAATTAGTCTTAGGCACAATAAGACAGTTTTTGCCACTTTCTGGAACATTGAATATAATTCCTCAAAAGTAGAAGATTCCAATCTCATTTAGTCATGCTTTGTTTATAAAATTAAAAATTATGGGTAAAAAGTTGGCAAAATAAGCTGCTTTACTTATTATTATGTTCTTTATAATTCTGAGAACCTACTCAGATAACAGCATCTCTGAGGCTAAACTATTATTAAGAAACTATGGAGTATGGCTTAGAATAATCAGTTTAGGTTTATGTTACAAAAAGAATAATTAAAACATGAGTTGTAGTTTATCTTAAAAAATCCATTCTTAACATAATCCTGGAAGGGAACATCTGTCTTCTGCCTTAACATCCTCTTAAGAAAAACATTCACACTGCTCCATTCTAGTGTAGATTTTCAGGACAGAGCTAGAGATTAACTATAACAAAACTAACTTGGGCAGGTAAAAAAAAAGAGAAGGTCTTCCATTTTGAGTTATAGGTCAATCTAGCTAGGTTTTTTTCTCTCTGGGTGTCACATTTCTGTTTTATATTCATAAGGAATAAGTATTTATGGGACCATTTATTTCTATTCTCTAGAAATACTGTAGCTTGGGTAGAAATTACTATAAATGCACATTTGCTCTGAGATGCCATCTCTCAGTTCCACGCTGAGGACATGTATAATGAATGAACTGGGTCAGATAATGTGTGAAGGCAAGAGACCAAAATATTCTGGGAGTAAAACCAGCTTTGATCCCTTCTGACAACGTAAGCAAGACCTTTGCATAGAAGTATATAACAGCCAGGAAGGCAGCCAAGAAACCTTGTATTCTCTTCTATCATAAACCCTGCCAACTTATAGCTGATTTAACTATTGCAGATTGTCATCCTATTAAAACTAATTAAGTTTTAGACCAAATAGCCACTGTATTTCTGTTTTACTAAAAATGATAACAAGATAGTTTTGGGGGACGAAGTTCTGAGAACTCAGATGACATCTGTACCAAATGTATTGTTCCACCTGCAAAGCTGCAGTGTTTGTAGAAGAAACTTGCACAAGGTAGTGTCTTATTTGCTAAGGAATAAGGTAGCATAATCAGAGTCCATTAAAAACAGCATGTTTCAAAATTAATTTTTTTTCTCATAAAATCTCAACTTTGATACATTCTGGGTACAAAATTATTAACCATGAACAATGAACAAACTGATGGCCAGCCATCCTTTTCCTTCTGGCATATAAATGTACTTTAAATAACACATTCAGGTCACTGCAGGCTATTACTAGTGCTGTATAACTATACAATGTGAATTATTTTTGCATGTTTATAAGATTACTTAGTAGTAATGAGTTTTACAACATAAAGGACTTTATCATAGCGAATTTTACAATATTAAAGACTGTGTACTTACATCAACAATCAGGAAGTCCAGCCAGCACCAGGCATTAGTAAAATATATTTGAAAACCATATGCTACCCATTTTAAAAGCATTTCCAAAATGAAAATATATGTAAAAACTTTGTCAGCATATTCCAGCATGGTCTTGATAGTTTTGCGCTGTTCAATATATATATCTTCAAAAGCCTATGAAAAAAGTATATGTTTTACAGCATATACATGATAAAACTAAGGCATAAATAATAAAATATAAGTAGGTCAGAACTAATCTTTCCCCTTGTTCTTCTGTATCCTCTTATTTTACATATTTCCCATCTTTAACCATACTACAAATTGGAGCAACTTTATGTATTCTGCCCTGTCTGGGATTGAATATATATATATATATCCTGTTTTACTAATGAATGAAAAAATAAACTCAAAGCATGGATTTTCATCCACTGTGGTATTAAGAAACTTTCACATAGACACACAAACCCCTCCCTTTCTTATACTAAACCTGTTCCAGATATGTATATTCCATTCTAAAAAGCAGTAGGGAGATGACATTTCTATCCTCCACCAATCAAACTTATGTCTAAAAGTCAAATTAAAGAGCACTGTATTTGCTAGAATGTACACTGTCTGTGCACATTGATACTGTAGCAAATGTTCAACTTGAGTAAAGCTGGAAAGGTGGGTAACCATAAATCTTGTTGTAAAGTGGTTGTTAGGTTTAATTTGCTGTCACACTCTTCCCTATCTCTTTCCTCCAAAAAAGGAACAGAATGAAGTAATTATTCCATTTTTTGTGTGGTCTTTCATAAACAGAATCCAAGAAGTGGCTGAGCCTAACAGGAATTAAGGACTTAAAAGCATACATTTAGCTATATATTCACAGTTAACAGTCCTTTGTACTCAAATCTCTTGATGAGCATGCTGAAAATTAGCAGACAATTTAAATCTTGAGTAGCTATGTTGGCTTAAATAAAATTGTGCCAGCTTTACAATGGTAAACCAAAAGTATCACTAAAAAAGTGCATGCAAAATTAAACAAACTTTTTCAAGCTTGGGCCAAGTTTCATTCCATCCTGAAATGATGGAACGCAGGTAGTTTACAGAGCAAAAACAAGTCTTTCTGAAGCAAATTTGAATTTTGCTGTTGCTTCTAAGGAGATATCTAAATATTTCAGCATCTGCAATTTTTTTCTACTTACTAGTGCTCCACTGCTGAGGAGAATCATGAAGACAATGAAAGTCTCAAACCAGTTGTGCTCAACTATGCTGTAGCAGGTTTTTCTAAGATTCCACCAAATTTTTCCTTTGCCATCCTCTATACTTACTTGACAACATGGAAATTTCTGCACACAACCTGCATTAGATTAAGAGATATTAGGATTCAAAAGCAAATTATTTCAAAGTCAATATTACTGTGGTATCAACACTGTTAGAAGCTTTAACAAATTTTATAATATTTAAATTAAACACTGGAATCCTTTTTTATAGGATGCTGAATATCTGAATTTAGATATGTAATTTGGAGAGAAACCAGACAATAGTAGACATAATTATAAATAAACTCAATCCAAAAAACATTGATCATTTTGACTGTTGGCATGTAAGTGTTCCATTTGTTGATGGAGCCTCAGAAAAATTAATTTGTTCCAAATTTCAAAGGCCAATTCAAATAACTTTTAAGTATAGAAAAGTTAGTGAAGTTTCTTAGTTACAAGATGTATGCAGTGGCCGGGCAGAAAAAATTACTAAAAGCCTAGGGAAACCTTGTTTTGGCATCTGATTTCTGGCATTCTAGGCTAAGAGTATTTTCTTTCAGTTGTTGAGGTCATGAAGGTCCACCAGATTTGAAAGTCTCAAGAACTTAAATATGCCTAGTAATAATGCCATTTTACTAATAAATCTCTTAAGTCATCAGTTATTCTACAACCTTCTGTAAAACAGGCTTCTGGTTCAAGAGCTTCTTCACTTTCAATTTCTGCTTGCTCGCCCTCTCCAGGAGGAGCAATATCGACTGTGCTGCCTTCTGATGAGCTGGATGCATTTAGTTTCTGCAAGTAAAGTTCCACACAACAATTTTTTCTCATTAGTTACATATTCTGTAAAAAAATGATACTGAATCAAATCATGACAGTCTGACTTTTGAAGAATGCTAAATTTATACTGATAAATATGCATCACCATAAGTAAAAACATAGTAATGACATGTACATTTTATAGTTCTGTTTTCCAGTTTATCTTCTCATAGGGAACAATTAAATATAGTGTGACTACTAACCTGATCCACATATAAGATTTCTGAAGTATTCTCAGTAGTATCAAAACTGGAGAGCTTGCATGTACCATACTCTCGAGTTATTTCATTTTCTTTACTATACTGGATTACACTGAAAATGTGTCTTAGTTTTCCCAGCAAAATGAACTACAAGAAAGCTCCACATATATCTTCATGTCCACTATAGATGGTGTTTTCACAAACATACACCGTATCTGGATTAAAAAGTTGTAAATTTAATGGCATTTAATGGCAAATTTCTGCACAATTTAATTTCTGCAGAAAGCACAAATTACCAGATCCGAAATATCTTCTTTGCATTCCTGTCTCCTGTGCATATTGAGAGATCTCCTGAGGTCCTTTCCATCCTGAATTTTTCTATCATTCTAATAATTTTGTGTATAGTGAAGTATTATAGTCCTCACTATGGTAAAAGCACTGCTAGATCTGAAAACTGCAAGAACTGGAGAGTGATATAAAGCAACTGAAATTAAATAAATTTTTACCAAGTACATTGAAATTTGGATCAGGTCAAGCTGTTCATGCAAGACTGCCCATAATTTTGTCCTTTTAAGAAACCATCTTTTGAAAGGACAAGACTGCTAAAGATGCACACAACTAATGCAATAATTGGACGTAGAGTTTGTAACTTGAGTTTGTATTGGCAATTCAATTGCCAATGCTGTTTGCGTCTTTAATTGCTTTCATCCAAAATACATAATACATTCTCTTTTACTGTGAAATAAGGGTTGTAATCAGAAAGCAACATTTAAAAAAGCATGGCAGTGAAATACTTCTGGTTTATACCATGTAGCAGTAATACATAGGAATTTCAAGGGGGATCTAGTATCCATCTCTAACTTAAATGCTTTAAATTGTACAGGCACTGATGTAACAAAAGGGCATTTGGTCACAGACTAGATTTGTGATTTCAGCTGAGCAGATCCGGTCATGCCCTTTGACCTTTCTGAAAATGTTTCTATAGAGATTTTTTTGGTATGCTTAATACCAATTACTTCTCACATTTGATTTTCAAGATAGTGACATTTTTGATGTGACAAATAGATGATTTGAATTATTTTGCAACAAATAATAAAAAATAACTTTTTAAAGAGGCATTTCCATGTATTCTCCTCTTCAGAGACACTGCTGCAAATTAAAACTAGTTATTTAACACTTGAGTTAAAACGCAGTCCCTTCAGGAAAATGCATTGGGAGCTAAGGGCTTTTTTCTGCCAGAAATTAAGTAAATGGCACATACATCTTTATATAGTTTGTTACACAATTCTTTCTTCATATTCAACTCTTACGTAAGATGAATGAAGTTTAAAAAAAATCATGTTGGGTGATGGATAATCTCAGGGTTATGTTTCAAGAAGCTGCCCTTCAAACACACGTGCAAATGTAGTCAATATAGGGTCACCCAGACCTCAGGTTGCGTGGCTGTTACTGCATTGTGACCGAAAATAAAGGACTTGTTGCATAATAGAAAGGATTTCTGACAGGCACACAGGTATGAGTTTAAAAACCATTCTTTCCCTTTTTAAATATCATAATTTGTGGAATGGAAATCCATGGAATTTCATGGAAATACATGGAAATACATGGAAAATCAAGATTTAAGAAGTATGAAATATGTCACTGAAATTATAGGCAGTTTCTTCATGAAATAAAAACCAAATATTGTGAAAATAATAATCTGTCACATTCAAACTAAGAAAATTAAAACTAATTCATGGCCTGATCCATCATCATTAAATCAATTACTGGCTTAATAGTAACAAGATAAAGGTGCATAGTACGCATCAATTATTAATCTATATGAGTGCCAATTAAAAGGCAGTCAATTTTTTTAACTGCATCTTCCCATCTGAACTCTGTTGCAGATAGTCCTGTCAGCATAGTTGCTAAAAAACAAGTGACAGAAGTGCAATTTATAATCAGTACAAACAAAACCTACTATAATTCTCTGTATTATTTTTCACATAAAGCATTCACTTCATTATTTTTCAAAAAATCTCAAACAACTGCATTATTAAAAAACCCTCATGTTAATAAAACTCCTCTTCTTTGCTTCAAGACCTTAAATTAGGAAAGAACTGTTGCATTTTAAATAAGGTGAGTTTAATGTCCTTTCTTTTTTCTAGCGATAAAACTAATAAAACTAATAGGAAACTCAAGATACATGATGGATTAACACAATCTTCTTTTCACCTCATAAATGTTGATCATCAGCTTCTAGAACACGACATGCCCTGTAAATACTTATTTGCATCTTCAGTGATATCACATTTTCCTTTACAAGGATATATTTGTAAGCAATTGCTTATGATGCAGCATTCTCAAGGCCTGAATCAGCAAAACAACATGCTTGACTAGAGCAGAAGCCTGAGCAATACTGTGGAAATCACACACAAAAATAAAATAAAAAATAAGACTACCTCAATGGGATTATACTTTTCTGAAAATAGTATTATAAATATTAAAGTATAGGATATAACATAAAAAAATTCTTCATCACCAACCCAAATACTTGGTTAATATATGTGTAATCAGCCTCCATACTGTCTTTTCAGAGCAGCGCATCTCTTTTCAACAGCTTAGATCATTAAAACAAGCTTTGACCAACAGCATGTTAATGTGCCCATTTACAAGAAAATGCATTCACTTAAGACCCAGTCTTGCTCTCATTTGGTTTTATTCTAGATTTCAATAAGAGCAAGAGCAGGCTACTAAAATTTTAAGCTTTACAAACGGCTTCATGATTCAAGTGACAATAAAATAAAGGGATTCAGCCATTACAAATTGCCTTTAGTAATTCAGCCATGTGGTTTTATCCTTTGAATCTTGAAAGCTGCACTGTAATTCAGTGACAAATTATAAAATAATGGGGATCAGTGTTTCCAAAGTGATTCTAAACTGACTTTAGATCTCAGATCTTATGATATTTGACTTTTATATAATATTAAGAAAATAACTTTAAAAATATCTTTCCTTAGAGTTTTATTTATGTTTGAAGCATATCTTGGTTTAAAATTTAATCAGTAAAATCTGAGAGTTTTCAGAATACACACCAATATGAATTTCTTTTGGCATCTCTGGACAATTTATACTATGATATAATATAGGTAGATACTACACTATAATCAATAGTACAAAACAAAGTATTTGGTTATCCTTTTGAAGCCAGTGAGACTCTGCCTGAATGGAAACCGCTTTGAATCCTGCTATAGGGCTGAAATCTCAATCCTAACAAAATTTTGACACCTAGTTTTACTAGGATAATTTGACCTCCTTAGTTTCATGTAACTTCGGCTCCTGTGCAACATTTGCTGTCCCTATTCCTGAAGGGTCTGCCAATTCTACATCAATGGAGATTATACTTGCCTATAATGAAAAAAACCCTAGGGTAAATACACATGGAATTTTATAACAATTATGCTAACTACTCCATTGCCTTTCTAATTTACATCAAGTCAAGTCCCCCAACTCAGTCACAGACTGCTATCTTGAAAAATGTTCCGAAATACCACTATTTATGAAGGAGTTTAAAGTTTAGAAGAGAGTATTTTCAAAATGCTTTGCTTTGAGAGTTTTTTAAGGGGGGTTATTTGCTAAATGTAATTTTAGCAATGATGAAACTGTTTGCTCTGTTTACACTTGATAAAACTCAAGATATGCACTGCCCAAATGAACACAGAATGTAGTTTGTAGCATCTTGAAGATTTGCATTACAGTGCATTGTAGATTTAGAAGTATAACAGTGTAATTTTTATGCAAGTAGCTACTGCAATAGTTTAAATGTTATTCATTAAGGAGCTGAAGTTGTGGCAGTAATTATTACATAAATCACTTAACACATTTCATTAAATATTTACATTTATAAGGGCTGAATCAAAAAGGGTTGTTTTTATTTTTTAAAAACTATGCATGCTCCCTTTTTCTTTGGCCTCTTTAACGTATAACATTCCAGTACTTTTATGATCCATACTTCAAAACCTGTAGAGCATGCAGTTATTGCTAAAAACTGTATTAAAATATCCAGAAAAACCATTAGCAGAGTCAAAAAATCTATGTTGGGGCCACCAATCCCGCCTGACCATGCTGTGATGTGAGTCCCATGACTCAGCAGAGAGCAGCTGTGCATGTTTCTACTGTCTTGCAATGAGTAGGGAAGGTACATAGCTGAATAGCATGCAGGCCAGTCAAAATCCATTAAAAAGTGATTATATATATATATACATATATATGTATAACTTGCTTAGGTAACCTGTGTGAAAGTGGTGACACGTTGCTCTACCTGGTTAAAAAGCACCAGAGCTGCATTCTTGATTGCTCCAGCTTGGTTTTACCCCTGTGAGAAGTAAGAATGGTACGTAGTGAAGTTCAAGACACAGGATCTCTAGTTTTCCTCTTTTTGGAATCTCTAATTCAAACATGGCTTTAACACAATTAAAACATAATTATTAAATATTTTATGATCGGTTGGCAAAAAGGGAAATACATACCACCTGAAATGTTCAACAAACTTTTCTACAGAACTTGTTAGTTTATTTTAGAGAAATAAGAAATGCAGAAGCTAGACCTAATAATCCACACTCTGAAATTGTGATTCATAAATAAAAATACAATAAATTAAATTAGTAAAGACATGGTTAGCAGATTTGGAAAGTATTCCAGTATTTATGTAGTGCTTAATGCATATTAATGAAAATTTTAAGAGGTTTTTTTGTTCTACTCTTCATTTAACTATGTGATTATCTCTTATTTGCAAAAAAAGTATATACAGTAAGCAAAATACTTTGAAGCTGTATATCTTCCCATTCCTCCTTCATCCTCTAATAATGGCGGTAGAATTTATAGATTTCAATGAAAATAAACCTCCTCAATTTCTGTCCAAAATAAATGGAAGTATCGTATTGTGTAAGTTTCTAGTTTAAATTTAGTATGCTTTATACTTCTGATGCTGTAATCTCTCTCTAATTGTTTCAAAAGAGGATTGGGTTGGTGTGGGACAGTGGCTCATCAGTGTATCCAGAGATACGGTTTCACCCGTTAGTTATCCACAGCTAGTCCATAACTTAAAGAATCTGTGACTTTTGAAGATACTGTCCCAGAATTGGTCAGTTTTAGAAAAGGAGAATTTAGATTGTTGGATATTTTAAAAGAAATGTGATAAAAAAATCATCCAACAAATTGGTCAAATCACTGTTGGGTATGTTTTGGCTAAGAAATTTATTGAAGCCCAATGGCAATGCTTAACTTTTGGGAATGCAATAACTGTGTTCCTGTCTTTTTACTTCACCTAGTCACAAAGGCATTAGTGAAGGCAATCAGAAAACTGAACTTATTCCTTGTTTTGAAAATTCAGTGGATTAGATGATGAAGGATGTTTTTAATTTTATTAAAACCATCTGTTGTAATTTCAGAAGTTAACTGAGCAGCCTTATTTCTCCAATCTGAATTTGTACTTACTGTACATATACTGTAGATACAAAGGCTTTTGGAATTCTGAATGATAGAGGCTTGTAGGTATATGTATTTCTTTAGTTGTGAAATAAACTTTGCATAGCTGATGAATATCTTTGAAATTGCTTTTCCATGTTGAAATCCAAAACTTGACGAATAAAGTTGTGATTCAGACATAATGAACCGTTGTTAAGTGGTACAGAAATACAGGTTAGGAGTCATGTTTTTTAAGGTTAACATAGACCATTCATTTCACTGATTAGCAGGCATATTTTATAATAGAAAGATCATCCTCAGTGCTAACTTTAAAAACCACCAAATTATCTATGATAGTTACTTCTAATTTTCTTATTATCTTCAAAGTTAATTATCTTTAATATCTTATTTTCAGAGCAGAAATCTACTATTTCTGATGGTTATTTCATTGGGTATTGAAACTCTATTTTCTGATAGTAGGTATTAAAAAAATGCTGCTTCAAAATATCAATGAAATATTTGTTTCTTTCAGATACTTTCAGCCAACTATTACTCTAAAGTAGTGGGTAACTTTTAAATCTAATAAATGTTACTGTTATGTTTCATCCAAACAGAGACTTTCCCAAATTTCTAGTGATACTTATTAGAAAGACCTTGTTTAGGTCTGGAACTTGCAACCAGGTTCCAGAGTAGATCCTGGTAGATTTGGGAGGTTATTAACTAGGAAATTAATTAGAAAGTGTTTTTATGAAATGGAACAAAAAAAAAAAAAAAAAAGAACCAGCCTTCCAGAAGAAGGTGGCTAGAGTTATTTTGTACCATAGTATATCTGATAATAAAAATAGGAAAAATTACAATTTGTTCCTCACCCACAATTACAATTTCTATAACAATTACCTGCTCTTGGCATATTCCCCAGGGGCACCCTGCCCCTGCCTCACTTCAAGCATGACGTGTTATTGCTGACAGACTTTAAATAATCATTCTGCTCTTAACATCAGTGACAGTCAGTAAAACACCAGAAAAAAATGGTTCATTCTACAGTTCCTGGGCAGATCTAGCTTCCCACAGCTCTGTTAAATAAAAAGTTACTAAAGGGGATACCTCCTGAGGGTATTTTAAGTGCTAAGTACTGCCACAGACAAGGCAGGGAAAGGTCTGCCCCATCTCTTACCCCTCCTTTTGAAGACCAGGCCTTCTCCTAGCAGG